TTTCCCTGGCCTAGGATGTAACAACTGCTGTCAAAAGCCAAGACTTCGAAGCACAAAAACAGGGCATAATAAAAAATAAAGCTAGATGTTTCAGAACAGAAGTGCATTACCATATTGATTCAAAGAATATGCGAATAACGTGGAGCATAGAATTGCCTCTTACAATTGCTGTTGTCAATCATGGGATTTGTAAGCAAAATCAATTTCTCAATGCTTGGTTTTTTATCGCTTAGCAAATTACCTATGCAGGCTTCTTTTTGTGAAAGTCATATTCTTTGAGGCAAAAAGATTGAGCAGCACTGATTTCAGTAACTGGCTAATCATAATATAAAACCTAAGTAAAGAACATGACTACTTTGTTGCCATGTGCGAACAGGAAACTATAAGCTTTAGATGGTTTTCAAAGAATATTGAACATATCCATATCCTTAGGATCTTCTTTCTCTATAGGAAATGGACCTAAAAAGAATATAAGTTTCTTGATAGAAATGAGGGTCTTGTTCAAGGAATGTAAACAACTGGGAAACTAAGGGCATAGCTGTAATTTCCAGGCAAAATACTAATATTTATTAATCCTTAATTTTAATCTTTTCCATTTTAAATGTTACTAGAGGGTTCTTTTTATTTTAAATATGATGACATTAATATTGAAATGTACCCATTGCCAGAGAGAACATTTTATGAGACATATTTTCTTAATAATGAGAACATATATGGATGAAAAATGAGATTTTTTGCTTCAAAGAGGAGACGCTCTTGATTTCTGTGCTATAGGACTAGACTCACTATGAGTCCACATCACAGCAGGATTATAAGAGACCCTGCATGCTTACTGAATAGTCAGGCTGCCTCTCAACTAGTTAAAGGGTGAACCTGAGCCACATGCAGCAGGTGGGAACCCTACTATATCATGCAATATGTATGAGTGAGATGGTAATGTACAGAAAGTAAGTTACAGACAGTGTGAGCTACAGTAAGTACTTTGAATAAACTGTGAAATCTGTGATTTCACTAAAAATAATTCCTTGTAGCCTATTCCAAGATGTTTCCCAGAAAGAAGACTTTCCAGAAGCCTTCTCCAAATGACTTGTCTCCCAGTATTGCAACCCAAAAAAAAGGATGTATACTTATCAATAAATTAATTAAAACAGGACATTTGCACAGAAGGCTTCATTTCTCCCTATTGCAGAATAGAGTGTCTGGATAGCTAGTATGCTGTCTTGTACAGGAGGAGTGAAATTGTGAATTGTAGGGGTGAAATTCCATCATTTCTATTTGAGATATTAGCATATGGGTTAGTTCAACACTTAATTAGCTTCTATGAGAGCTCTGTGAACTCCCTGCAGTATGCAGACACAGTACCTCATCTGAATTCATTGACAAAGTAGGTCTCCCCTCCCCCCCTGCTTTTTGTGGGTTTTGTTTTTAAATAAAGCAGCTGTGAAACATTACAATAATAATTCTCCATCTCATGCAAAATAGAGTCCTTGCCTAAACAGGGCTGATTACCCTACATCTTTCAGAATCTGGTAATAACGTTGTGGGGAGAGGGTGGGAGCCTTAACAGGGTGATCCTATCTTTCCTGTTCAACTAATGAATCATTTCTTGTGTGTCACCCAAAGCCTGAGAAATAGCTTGATGGTTAGCTTGTTTGTATGCTGCTGCACCTAGAATAGAATAGTATATGTCGAAGGCACATAGTGCACATTGTTATGCCTCTTCTCCTTTTTCGCATTTCTAGGGATCTAAATAAGTAATAATCTATCAGTCAGTGAAGGTCATTTAGCCTCTTACCCAGCAAAGCACTTAACCACATGCATAACTTTAAGTATATAAATGGTCCCATTGACTAATGTAAGTCCAAGAGAAAAGCAAAGGTTTGGGGAGGAAATCCAAACCAACAGTTTTCAAGTCCTTCAGTGGATAAGGATTCCTCAAATTGCTAACCTAGTCTCTCCCTTTGATTCTGACTCAGGTGCCTCTTATTCGGCTTAACTAGATGTATACATTAGGAAGATACAGAGTGATGACTTGGATGTTGCAGATGCTTTTCTGCAACATCCTTTGCAACAATTTCTGCAAACTACATCCTCTGAGCAGTGTATTTTCAAACTGCTCTCCAGTTCGAGAATGTAGAAGATTGTCTTAATCTTTTATCATGAGATGATATGTTGAATGTTTCCTTAGATAAAGATACTATGTAAAAGTTGACATTTTCCTTCCCATACCACATGGAGAAGGATGCTAAAGCACAGCACATACAGGTATATTCCTTGGGAGGACCCATTGTGATGTAAGCAGCAGCAGTGCCATTCAAAGCACCTTATTCAGGGCAGAATTTCCCCCAGTGCATGCACTGCATCAGACAGCCATGGGCTCTGTCTATACATGCCCCTCACCTGGATATACAGATTGAAGACAAGGAGAGAAAAACATAGATCAGGACTGTGGTGCCTACCATTATGGGTATTCTGGGCAGCTCCAAGGTTTGCCTAACCAAGACCAGTGCAAGGAATTTTTCTTCCCTAGGTAAACAAAATGTTGCTGACTTCCCTACATACCTGTGGCCTAGCCAGGGCAGACATCAGACATAGCCCTAGAGTGGCGGCTTGGCAATGCTGGAGCTGCCCTGCTTGCTTCTGCCCATACCCAGACTTTTGAGGTGCCCCTCTGAGGCAGCCCAATGAATATGTGTGAGGTGTGTGCACACTGGTTTTGCCACCTCCTTCAATTAGCTGCCCTAAGAAGCTGCCTGTGTTGCCTGGCCAATAATGCTAGCCCTATGCCTCATTTATGTCTGGGGCTGTTGCAGTTGTCTCAGCCACTTTCCAGCCTAGAGTCCTAAGAGCACAATGAAAGCTTAAAGTTATCTTTACTACCTCTCCTTCCCTGTGACTATGTCTGTGTGTGTCTTGTCTCTGCATGGTGCAACTACTCAATCACAATCTGGTATTTAATAGCTGACTAATTTAGACATGGTTCTAAAAACTGTGTCCATGGCATGACGATCACATTCTCTCCTATAAAACAATATGCTTGTCAAAAGTCTCATCTCATTCCAGTGTCAGTTTAAATATCCATTAGTGCATCATACTGCATGCATTAGTATGTATCATGGCATCATTTGTATATTTTCTTAATATTACATTTCACACACACTCATGCTGTCAGACAAGCCCTGAAAACCCCAGATGCTGAATCATTCCCTGTAAGCAGAAAAACATACAGGTATAAAATGCTCTGCCAGGAAAGCTATTCAGTGGCACAAAACAGGAGTACGATACCCTGGGAAAACAAATACCAGATTTATAAACCAGACACTGACAAACAAATTGAGATAACTAGCTAAGAAGAAAGATGTGCTAGGGAGGTTGTTTCCTGTCAAAGATAGTGCCCAGTTTACTGGAATTTGCACATAAGTAAGATTAACGAGGGTACAGATGTTAACAGTGATGCCATGTCCTAAGTACAGCATAATTGTCATGCGTTCCAAACACTGAATTCTTAACAGCAACAACACCGGGGCTACCACAACTATTTTTATATATTTGCGTCATCTGAAAAAGGTACAGCTAAAAGAGGCTTAAAATCTGTTTTTAGTGCTGCCCCATGATAGAGGGGCCAGACTTGTTTTTTGCTCGATTGTCTTTAACCACATTGGTATTCTTGAGTGTTACTCCATTTTTATGCTTTTTCATTTAAGCCATCATCTTGGAGCCAGTTACTTGGTAAAAGACCTTAAAATATGATCGGCAATTTCTTTTGGGTACCTCCCATATATTAGCCAGAATTTGCAGCATCCCTATCAATAGATTGTTTTCTTTTCATCGTTCTGTAAATACCATAAGAGTGCTATTAATTAAAACTCACTGATGTATTGGGTATGCAGAGATTACCTTAGAATTCCAATACATGTCTACAGCAATATTTTTCTTTTGCAGGGGTCTTAAACCAGACTTTCAGCACTACTTCCAGTGCTTTAGATTACCCTAGGTTTTCTGCAGGTTAGGGATGGGAAAACCCAGTAAAGTTCAAGTTTGGATGTTAACCCAAAAGTGTGGTGAATCCTAATCTTAACTCAAATTCCTCCCTGCACTCCAGGACTTGGGATCCCAGAGCACAGTGATCCTCTGACCCAGCAGGCACAGCATGATGACATTTGCCTCATTACACTATGCCGCTGAATTGGAACTTGCAAGAGTTTGGGTTCAGTTCAAGAGACAGGAACTCAGCTGATTAAGGTGGGTTCAGATTCCCACCTGAACCATTTGCTCAGGCTTTTTCTGTGGCTTCAAGGGGCTATGAAGAACAAAACACTGTAGCATACCACCTTGTACTATGATCCCATTTGATTTTTTTGTCATTGCTTCCTTCCTTCAAAATAACATTAGGACTGATGATTTCTTTCCAGCTGTGAATACTGTTTGGGGATTACTACAAACAGGCGCATAAACATTTCTGCCTTCCCAGTTTCCAGCCAACTTTCAGAACAAAGTAGGATCAAGTTAATTAAATCAAGTCCATAAATTTACATTATCCAGTGACTAAAATACAAACTAACAGATGAATCCTTTTGCCTGGCTCACAAAAAAGGAAGGTGGCTTCAAAATAAAATGGCAGCATAGGTAGCTTTGGAATCATATAGACCTTTACACAGCAAGATACAGTAGGCTTTAGTTATGATCTAGCAGCTACCATAAATGACAAAAGAAGCAGCTAGGAATGAGCATGCCACTTACAATAACCCAATTTTAATAGATCATAACAGGCAATTTTGTTTCTGCAGGTCTGAGTTTCCATTGCAACTTCTCTTATTTAGATAGGTTTATGAGTCCATGGTTAAAATTAAGAACTTGATCAAGGTCTTT